CGCACCTGTTGCCCTCCTTAGATGTGGTAGCCATCTCTCAGGCTCCCTCTCCGGAACCGAACCCAGATTCCCCGTTACCCATCAGAGCCACGGTGTAAGTGCAGCCTAATACACTCCTAAACAACATATTTTAGAGATATTTGTTCGCTCTCGGGCGCGCTCAAAATCTTATGGATCGCGCGCCTGGGTCTCTGATCACTTAGACGGGACCTGCGATCTTCCCTCCCTTCCGGAACCCCACGCAAATGACAGGGGGTAAGGACTCCATGGCCCCCTTGGGATCCGCCCATGATTGTGACATGTGTTTTGTGGTACCAATGCCTGTCGAGGATTTTTGGAGAGGGAAGCGGGAGGGGGTACTACTGCAGCCCTGGTAGTACCTGGTGGTGCAATTTTTTAAACTAATTTTGCTAATACACATGCTGGTTTGGAAAAACCACGGACAATGGGGTACTTGGACTTCCTTTTGAGTAATAAGACCTGCCCCCCCCCCTCCCGCCGTCCCAAAAGACCCCGTTACCAAAAAACATCCTTTCAGACCCAGCGAACGCAGAACAACCGAAACATCACCACACTGGCAGGTTTTGAAAAACAGCGTCGTAACGCTATGGCTTGAAGCGCTGTCGTAATACTGGCGCCATTACAGAGCACTAGCCAGGGTAGAGGGAGGGGGGGGGGGGGCAGACTAGGAGAGAGGGTGAATCAGGGGCGTTCGGCTTCGTAACTTTCCATGCAGTACCATAAGCTAATCTTTTTTCAATGCTGAGACTGAAGTCACCTAAGTTCCTCCTAACGCACTTCTTTCCGCATGGGTAGTATATGCCGGACAGTGTGAATCAAAAGAAAACTAGGAATTTCTGCGCTGTGTCACTAGCAAAAACTTTCAGAAAGCCCAAACTCTTTAACCGAAGAACATAAAGGCTCTTTTGGGCGGCACCACCTGGAAAGAGACATCCTGCTCAATGATATTTATATCAAACCTCCTACCTATGGGGCTGAAACGCATACAAATGCCCTCTGTTCTCCCAATCTGAAGCTGGCGACGCCGCATGGTCTGGGGGGGGGGAGGGGGTATTTCTACACAACGGTTGCTGCATGCATTATATTGATGATGCATGCACGGATGATGTATGTACAGCTGAATCTCCTTGTAAAGACGGTACGTATATTACTCCAGCTGCCAATGCTTATTGCGCCTTTGCAGGAAATACTCGGTGCAAACCTCAGCCACGCGCAGTTTTTTCGCCAATGGGGCGGAAAAAGTGTCATTAAATATTTTATCGACTGCTTAGAGCTGGAGAGATGACTAGCGGTCAGAATGTTATAAAGCTGAGGCTGTTAAACCCATCAGGCGAAGCGTATTTCACCTGATTGGCCGCCATTCACTCAGTCCGCGGTATGGCTCAGTCCGGGGCGATACGAGATCGCCAATACCATGAAACCAGTCGCGTCTCGGTGGTTATGAATCTGCCCAGCAAACGTACGTGCCTGCTGAGTGGCAGTGGTGCTGCCATGAGGCGGAATATCATCTCTCGGTTTACTCGTGCGTTGGGAAATGGACACGTGCCCACGAGCGAGATGAATGTCGCCGCCAAGACCAGAGGCGGCGGGAGGGGGGGGGGGGGAGGAGCTTGATGGTCGAGATCAGTGGTTGATGCATGCAGGCGGCGGGGCGAGTTGTCGGTCAGGGGCCGACAGTGCTTAACAGGGGACCTCGTGTCGACGAATGGTCCAAGTCGGACAGGTGCCGTACTCGGGGGCTTGAGGGCGGGAGGGGGGGGGGGGGGGCGGGAGCAAGCGGGGCTCAAAATCTCCTTCAGGACCAAAGATCAATGCCATGAGTGGAAGGCTGCGAAGCGTCCGAAGGTCACTTTAGTGGCTGCAGGTCACCTTAGAACCCCGCCCGTAGGGTCGTGACCTCAGATGCGGTTCATTTGTCCCGATAGGTCATTAGGTCAGAGCGCCTGGCTTCCGATCCATCCACCTAGGGCGGGATGGGTTCAAGTCGCTTTAGTCGATCGCGATTTGCCCTTGACAGTTATGGCATGCGGCCAGTGGCAGCGGCCGCGCAAAATGTCAGGTGACGTCAGAGGACAGGACGGAAAGTACAGGGGATTGCGGCACGTATCAAACCATCGCCGCCAATTCTGCCGTTGACCTAGGGCGACACGATCGGCTGGCAAGTTTGTGAGATTTCACAGCACAAGCTGCTTAACAAACACTCTGAGCCCTGATCCCAAAAACTTGTGCGTTCAAAAAGGTTCGGATTAAATATTTCAAACTGGTCAGTCGGAGCCTCTTGCATTAATTAGGGACCCCTGGAACAATGCAGGCCTCTGCTCAGGCCAGAGACCACCGACACCGAAAGACCGGCTCCGTGTTAGTCTCGACCCTGTAGGCCCATTTTCCAAGCAGAAACAAGGCCCCAAGAACAACCGGCCCGTGATTCATATTGGTCGGGGCGCGTGCAACAGTCAGGTTAGGGCCCACAATGTCTAACAGGGGGTTGTGTATCGGTAAGGAGCCCCGAGTGGGCAAGGGAAGCATTTGCTGAACAAGGACAGGGACGGGACACCGGACGGCAGAGGGCCTCTTGCGTTGGTCGGGCCTTCTGACGATGGAAGGAGATACGAGAGCTTATGATGGGAGTCCACAATAAAACGATGGAAGGCCCTGTGTCAGTCAAGGCCCCAGCACTCAACGGGGGCCTCTACCCCATTTCAACCAAAGGACCATTAAGCGAACCTGGAGTCTCTGTGACAGATATTAAACTGCCTGCGATGATAAACACTCTTGCTGTGTATGAGGGCTTTTGCGTCGATCCGGTGCCAACTGTGCGGGTCAAAGGGACTTCCGTGCCAAAGAATGGACTAATGTGTGATGTATCCCTGTAAGGGCCGCCTGATCGACCGACCAAGGAACCCCGCCTCCGAGTCGCCAGAATGGCAGCCGTTGAGTACCCCACGCTGGGACGGAATGGACCTCCAGACCTTGACCAGAAACGATGTGCCCCTTGTGTTTAACCCCCGGGCTCCTTGCAAACAATAAGTGTGGGATTTCATAAGTGTCCAATCAAGTGGATTGCAGCGACGTCAAAAATGAAGACGGCGAGCCGATGTTTGCCCGAAGACGTCCATCGTTTTGCAGAATCGACTAGTGAAACAAACGTATAAAAAGTTTTGGGCCTGAACGCTCGCAGTCTCAGGAGCACGAGTCACAAGGGTCATGGTTGCAGCTCCCATAAAACCAACCGACGTTGACCGCTGCAGATGACACCAGTCGGCGGGCGCTGTGCGCGCCAGAAACGCCGTAGTGAAATAATACTTCTGAAAGTCTTTCAAAATCAACTTGTACCGTTCAAAGATTTGCTAGGACGTATATGCCACCTTTATGATTTGAGTCTGTCTTCTGAACAGATGAACAGCTACAGCAACACCAAAATTAGGCTTTTTGATTGTGCTCTTTCAGTTCCACTATCAAATTTCGGTACTAGTTCTGGGTGCTGCAAATGCTAATTCGTTCCAGTTTTCAGTCTAAAAATCGCACGGCCGAAACACACGCACAGACTACCCACTTAACGCAAGAACTGATGTCCTAAATCATTCACAGGTACTTTTTCAGTCACATCACTATTTTCATCCGCCATCGCCACCTAATGATCCATAAGGCCAACGTCGCGCTGCCCATGAAAGCTGCAACGCCAGGCGTCGAGGTTTCTATTTCTGAGACCTGAGAGCGCACATGTTAAACATCTTGTTACCTAATTTTTCTTCCAATACAGCCCTCACAGAATGCTGAATGTTTCCAGACAGACAAAGTGTGGTCATATCGGGTGATTTTTGTTGAGGGGGGAAGGGGGAGTCTCTCTTACCATCAGGGGCCTTTCATTCATTTTGTGCCCCCCACTCCCCTACCAAGGCTCTGGATGCGCCGCTGGTTCGGGTAGCTAGGAAAAGTGTCTGCTTTCAGTTAAGACAGTCTCTCCATTATTAGGCTCTCGGGACCAAGGAAAATGGTGCTCCTGGACGGAGTACGTCAGCGACCTCTGCTTATATCTGCCTGTATGAGCCCGACGCCTCCTCAGGAGCGCCGTCCTTCTCCTGATCTGTCTCCTGGTCTGTCTTTTTAAAGCAGTCCGGTAGGGAGATCCTTTTTGACATTTCTCCTTTGCCGCTCTCTCGGACCCACCATTTCATTTTAGTTCAACGCAGTTTAGTCTCTCAGATATTGCAAGCAGCATTCGAAAACAATGTACGCGTTTAGTGTTCTCAATGACCATGACGATCTGTGCACACCGCCTACAGCCGCTGAAATGGTCAGCGTTGCTATTGCGGCTGTTCACGCCCTGGCCAGTTGGCGTCTCAGAGCTTAGGGCTGTCTTTGATTTTTCCAGTCCAGATACGCACCAAGATGGGCTCGATATCAGAGCTCCCCGAATTCGTGATCAGAAGAGGCCCCAGCTTCCTTCTGGTTCAGGCCCCTATGCTCCGCAGCACCACAAGACGCCTTGCATCCAGATCTTTCGATTGGCATATCCCGTTCGCTGCCTGGCAAGTATAGTTCGCGGAGATAGTGGTCTAGGCATGCTCGTCCCGCCGATGGTCACGGTATGAGAGGAGCCTTTTTTCACCGGAGGCAGCGGCCGCGACCGCCCCCCGCGCGCTCTGCTGGCCGGCCGGCGAGCGACACGTCCCCTGATTGGTCGGCGCTCCGCTCCCAGCCAACCCGATTGGTCGAGCGCCCGTGTGCCTTACACCTGATTAGCCGCTGAGCACGGTGATTTATCAAAGCCAGCCTTCCGGGGCCGGCGACGTATACGCGGGAAAGAACGGCACCTAGCATCAGCTAAGGCCGCATCAAAGTGCCCTTCTTGCACGCCATTGGCGAGATAACATCCTGCCCTGATTGCTCTCCTTTGCCCGTAAGCTATTGGCTCTTGGAGACTTCTGAACGCTACCCGGCTTGCCAGTCGTTATTGGCCGCGCGAGTGGGGTCCCGGCGCCGATCGCAGCGCTCGTTCCACCGCTCTTCCGCAGCCTCTGCGCCGGCCGACCGGCCCTACCGCGCCATGGAGACGTGCGTCCTGCTGCCGCAGGAGTTCTCGCTGGTGCTGACGCCGGGCCGCGGCGGCGACGCCAAGTCGCCCGAGTCCGACGTCCAGGTCTGGAGCAACGCCCGGATTCCGCAGGGCGTGCGCGTGTACCCGTTCCAGGGCACGGTGCGCCTGGACAAGCTGGAGGTGTACGGCTACCTCAGCCCGACAGATGTGAGTACGCGCCGTGGCGGGCCGACCCGGGCGTGGCCTCTCCCACGCCCCGCTGGTGTGCTCAGGCTCGATAGTAGTCGGATGTGTAGCCGACCTGGGACCACGCTTGCATAAGTCGTTTTGGAGCATGCCGACCTGCATGACGAGCGGTCCCAGATTGTGCAAGCTCTAGGAGCTGGAGGCTGGTCCCACGGCAGTCTGGACCGGCCGTCATCCGGGGCAGCTTCGAACTCGCGTGTCTCGCTGCATCTCCTCACAATGCACTGCTCTAGCTGTTAACTGGTTCTCAACGGCCAGACGCGCACACAGCGTGTTCGTACGGCGGCGTCCCGACCTCGAAGGGACCCCAACAGAACGACAGACGGGCCCCTGCGTGGGGCGCTTTAGGGGCCCGCTGCCGCATATCCTTACCTTGTCTTCCTCGAGATCTACTAGTGTTATGTTTAGGCATGCTGCGGTGAACAATGTGAATTCTGGCTCCTTTCGACGCTCCTTTTATGCGTTTTTTCTCCATGCATAGAACCCAGTTTTGCTGGATAGCGGCATAGACCCCCGTGACATCCCCTGTGTGTGCCTCTGAGCACATCCGATACAATCCAGACCGGAGGACGCTCAACACCTGGGTACATCTGATTTCGAACCGTTGAGGTGGCTGAGGTGCTGCTGGCAGCCAGAGCTACATTAAAAAGGCCATCCAAAACTGGATCTGCACGCAGAATTGGCCCGGATCAGATACAAACGCGTTGGAGCGGCTGCAGGTTGGGGCAGGGACTGGAGCAGCGAGCGGCTGCAGGTTGGGGCAGGGGCCGGAGTAGCGAGCGGCCGCAGGTTGGGGCAGGGGCCGGAGTAGCGAGCGGCGGCAGGTTGGGGCAGGGGCCGGAGTAGCGAGCGGCTGCAGGTTGGGGCAGGGGCCGGAGTAGCGAGCGGCCGCAGGTTGGGGCAGAGGCCGGAGTAGCGAGCAGCTGCAGGTTGGGGCAGGGGCCGGAGTAACGAGCGGCTGCAGGTTGGGGCAGAGACCGGAGTATCGAGCGGCTGCAGGTTGGGGCAGGGACCGGAGTATCGAGCGGCTGCAGGTTGGGGCAGGGGCCGGAGTAGCGAGCGGCTGCAGGTTGGGGCAGGGACCGGAGCTGCGAGTGGAGTGCTGAACTCTCTCCTGGACGGGACACAGCGGCCCTGCCGCCCGCCGACGCCACGCGCCTCGAGTTCGGGACATCCGCCCTGGTCCGTGACGTTTGTCCCAGCTGGTGTCTCCCTGCTCGTGTAGAGACACATGTCGAGCGAGAAAACTTGGCAGGGAAGCCGTATGCCCCTTGTCGCGTCCTAAGCAGCTCGAGCACAGGCCTATCGTCCATCACAGTATCTCAGGCCGCCGTCTGGCGGTAATCGTTCCTTCCGGACGAATCCGTCAGGCACGTGAGGAGACTCAAGGACAAGCCCGACTCGGCGTTGTCCGCCAATTTTACAGAGTCACTTCAACACAAGTTTCCTCTTCTGACGACCGCTCTTTTTCGGCACGGCCCACTTCGAGAGTCACTTGTTTGTTTACCGATAGATGCTACTCGCTCTGTCATGGTACGACCCAACTATGCTAACATCCGTGGGCCTGGGAAAGCCTGAAATAGCCTGAGAATATAACCGGATGTGCTACAGTCTCAGGGTTAAATATTCGCGCCCACTGCCTGAGATTTTAGGGTCAAATTTTCACACATAGTATCGCAAACCTTTGACAAAACTCTACCCAATCTATTTCATTGTTGTTTATGCTACCGAGAGCCTGTGACCCAAACTAACTCATTTTTGCGGACCTCTGAGGTTTACTCCCGGGGTAGCACAGGATTATATCACGCAGATTATATATATATATATATATATATATATATATATATATATATATATATATATATATATGTGTGTGTGTGTGTGTGTGTGTGTGTGTGTGTGTGTGTGTGTGTGTGTGTTTGTCATATTAGCACAGCAAAACTTCCGCACTTGCTAAAGTCTCATTACAAATCATGCATGCGCGCACTATCGTCAGAACCATGTTCTTCACGCACTTGCACAAGAGAGGCTCGTCATTAGACTGGTCAGTAGTCAATGAGAAGGCCTCGTTGCGATGGGCTCCTCCGTTTTACGTCCGTGCCAGCGTGAGCTCCGTCCTTTTGCATTATCGATGTAAAAACAACGGAATTTGTCTGCATGGGTGCCTTATGACAAACGATGAACACGTGGATAGGATGTTTTTCAACCCACGAAGCCAACAGCATAAATACGATCCGACCATAAGTGGATTTGGTGGACGTTATTGTACCGAAGCGTGTGCATGAGGCCGGAAACTGAAAGTGAGACAGCAGTGAGCTAGAGGAGGAAAAGACCGTCCGAAGACGCAGCCTCTTACTTGCCGATGTTTTTGGTGCTTCTAGTGAGCGATTCGAGAGAGCGAGTGACTCCAAAGGTGGGAGTGCCAAATTCCGTCTCGAAGTCGGTTTTTTCGTGCATCGCCATATGTTAAAGTCACAAGTAGAAGGGTCATGGTCCTTGTCCCCAGCCCTGCTATACGGTTCCTGGGCCCATAATTTGGGAGGTCATTTCAGCTTGTTATGGGGAGCAGCTAGACAATACAGAGCCCGAGGCGCTCCCCGAGAAAGATTCAAAGATAGTGAGCAGAACGAGGATAGGCACACTGTGTGGTATCAGATTTGTGCTCAATTGCAATGGAATCAAACCGGGAAACGATTCGGTAATCTGGGAATTTGATCTCGCTCAAAATACGCCAACTATATGCTTCACACGATCTAGATCGCTGGCGATGTCATGCTTACCGGGGTGTTCAATTTGTCAACTCCCGTCACAGGACGTTTATGATTTCCGACGGCGTGGGAATAGGATTTAGTGTTAGCCTCCATCGGGTCTTACCTTCCAGGCAATTTAGCATTTAGCCACATGACGCGACATGAAAACAAATGAAATACCATGATGCTCTTGTAAGCGTATGTCTGGCTTATCAAATGTGACACTTTGCAGTGATCCTCAAATCTAGCCAGCCTCCGTGCTCAGTTTCACGTCACTGGAGCAGCCGACACGCTCCTACGCTCTGCTGGCTTTTAATGCATTCATCGAAATGAGAGTTGAAAGACAGGGGAAAACACGACATACGATGGGGCTTTGTAAAGAGATAAAGTTGGGTGGATTTGATAAAGGTAAAATGCGGAGAAGAAAATGGGAGAACATCCCGCAGTGTGGGTTTGACGACCATTTGACCACTCCAAGCCCAGCCAGTGGCATGGGGGGATAATAGGACAGCGGGCGGTTATGATATTGAGATCATCAGTTATAAGTAAAATAGGGATACAGATGTGGATGAGGGTTTTATATTCCGTACTTGTCAATCACGTCGGAGCTTATGTACATTGTACACTGTGGATGTGATAAGAAATGAGCTGAAGGTACATGCTTTAACCATGAAGCGCAAAGGTGAGCAACAAAATACGAGGTCAGGTGAATGAATCGTGCCGTTAGTTTCGCGTCTTGTTTTTGCACTCGGCTGGACCAGCGAGTCGCTTGTAGGTATTGGACGTGGTGGCGATTCCACCCCTTCAATGTGTACTTTTTCAAAAGCCTTAAGTTTTCAGATGAAACCTTTTGGCTCTATTTTTGTCATTTTTCAGAGAATATTTTGCCAAACACGAGCTGAACGACGATATACGCGAATATCTTATCACTTCAGGTTGTGTAACAGCTCTCTGGTATTGTATGGCACTCATGTAATTCGATTCTGAAGACCTTGCATCTATAATGACAAAAAATACAAGCCCGGAAAGACGCGAATTAACTAAGGGAACTGCTTCAAGAGCTAGGCTCTCCTATACACAGTATCATCAGTCAGCTGCCGTCAGAAGGCGAGCCGTGATAACTAACTTGTGGTGAAGTGGTGACTATTGCGCATAAAGCGAAGCTTAAATGACCACTAGCCGTGATTTTTAAAAACTTATTCATTAGCATTATATAGGTAGCTATGTGTTCGGTCAATGTATCAGTTAAGTTTATTCCCAGTGTCAAGACAATTGACGGGGCCTGCGCATAATCCATGTGATATGGACAGCGCCAGCTTGCTGCTTGCCCGACTGCGTCACGCTCCAGACAATCAGCCCGCGCCTATTTCCAAAAATTTTAGCATGGCGCTAAGCTCCAAGGCGGCTGTTGCATTGCCTGAAGCAAAAACAGCTTTGGAAATTTTCTTGCACTCGACTTCGCGTTCGCCATTTTGCAAATGTGGTGAATGCGCTAGCAGACTGGCTTAGAACTAAACAGAAGACGGATATTCAGCGGAATTTAGTCACGCGTGACCTAACAGCTTAACTTTTAAATTTATGAAAACAACAAGTTCGATGTTTTACCTAGAATATCAGAGGAGTGTGGACAGAAGCATAGCTTTGCAAAATACGTCGGGCAGGAAGGGGCTAAGGAATGAAAAGTTGCACAACCTACCCCAAAATACGCCAAAAATGTTTCCTTCCTGTTTGGCCCACTTTCTTTTCAATGTTTGGGATGGGGAGCTGCAGCCCACCCAACTGAATAGGATCTACACCCCTGGATGTGAACAATTGAAGGTTGGATATAATAACACTGAAAAGCTGTGGAGACAGAAACTGGTGGTATGGATGTTAAAAGCAAAATAGTACATTTCCTTACATGCAAGATATCATAATCCTGCACGCAGTCAACGGTCTGTCACTTGAAATTTGAAGGACAAAGAACGTGGAGGGGAAAGGGGACTGCTTCCAATTATCCACCTGCCCAACCTTCCTGCTTCACTTACTAAAACATTGCAGTCTTTTAATAGCTATATATGGAGATTGCAAGCTTTGCAATGTAGCTATATGATTGACAGTGTGCAAGCGTGACTCATCTTTTAATGCAGTTACCGCTCAAATAATTGAATGCTGCCAGCCCCGTTAAACAGCAATGCAGCTAGTGTATGTTTGGATACAATTGGATAGCAA